GGCGGGGAAAGAGGCGGATGCAGATCAGGACAAGGAGATGGAAAAGGAAAAAAACAGCGACTGGCTGCAGGACAAAGACGGGGGGCAGGGGGGGGGAGAGAGAGAGGGAGCAGGACAAGAACGCAGAGAGAAAAAGAAAAGGGGGCAGTCGAACGAGAGAGAGAAAGGGGGAGAGGAAGAGGGAGCAGGACAAGAAAATAGACAGAAGAGAAGAGGTACAGAGAAGCAAAAAAAAAACCCAAATCCAACCACAAACATCACAGCAGCACGGGAAAGAATGGGAAAAATTAAAAAAACAGGGACAGGGAACCAGACAGATAGCGATGGAGAAAGGAATAAAGTTGCGATGGACTACAGGGCAGAGTGGGAGGAATTAAAGAATCCGGACAGAAAGAGACGAAGAAAGACGTCCCAAAGATCCCGTCTCCGCAGGGAAGCCACAATTCCAACAGGCTCTTTCTCTCACCAGGATTTGGAGACAGCCAAGCGACGGAGCCGCACATCCCTCCGCATCGCTCCCCCGCCCCACCGGTCCCTCCCCTCCCGCTCCGAACGGCCGCGAGTCCGGAGCGCCCCCAGCCCGCGCTCCCCGGCGCCCCCCCCTTCCCCTTCCTCTTCCCCTTCCGCCCAGACCAGCCCTCCCAGCTCCCCGGTGCACGCACCCCACAGCCCCCGCCCTCCCGCCAGCGCGCCCGGGCTCGGCCCAGAGACGCCCGAAGACCCCTCCGAGGCAGCCCTCGCTGCCCGCTCCCCTCCGGACGCACCGCAGCCGGCGGCAGACCTCCCGACATCCGCGGCCTCCCCGGCGCCCCTGCCCCTCCGCGTCGGGCGGTCCCGACCCTCACCCGCTGTCGGCGAGAAGAAAGCAGGCTGCTCCCGGGAGCAGCGGGAGGGGAGAGGCCGCTCCGCCGGGGCCGGAACCGGGGCCGGTCCGTCCGTCCTCCCGCCCGGGGCTGCGCCGGCCGCCGCGCTTCCGGCGCCTCTTGCGTCATCGCGCTGCGCCGCAGAGAGGGCCCGGCTGCCGTCATGGTGCAGCTCGGTGAGTGAGTGAGTGAGTGCGCGCGGGCGCGGCCCGCCGGTCCCGGTCCCGGTCCCGGTCCCGGTCCCGGTCCCTCACCGCCTCGCGCTCTCTTCGCAGGCAGCCGCCTCCTGAAGAGCTACCGCGGCGGGCACGTCGTGATCCGCTTCGCTCTCGGAGGCTGCGCCAACCGGCCCTTCTTCCGCATCGTGGCAGCGCACAGCCGGCGCGCCCGCGACGGGAAGTACCTGGAGCAGCTGGGCTGCCTCGACCCGCTGCCCAACGCCCACGGCGAGAGGGTGGCGGGGCTCAACCTGGAGCGGCTGCGCCACTGGCTGGGCTGCGGCGCGCAGCTCTCCCGGCCCGCGGAGAAGCTCCTGGGTAGGCCCGGGGTGGGCGTCCGGGAGCGGGG